TTCCTGTTTGAAATTAAAAATGACATACAAACCTGACTCATTCAAACTTTCCAAGGAAATGTAAGGCCACCGTTCACAGTAAATGAGCGTTTTGTTAGTATTTTTTATTTTAATGTAAAAAATATTTTTCTCTATAAATAAGATTATTATTGTTATGATATTTGGTTTTATTTAATGTATCTAGTTTAAACAGACTTCTGAAAACTTGGTTCTTAAGTAGAAATTTGACCCTCAAAAGAAATCTTAACCATTGTATTATAGATCTTTGGCTTTTTTTACAAATGACTTTGATGACCACTGCCCTAGAGTTACAGGTAGATAGTTGAGATACAATGAAACCCAGGCCTTCCTGCAGTGGTATTTCACAATATTAAACATCCAAGAAGTGAAGAGAAAGTGACTCTGAATAGTAGGTATGAAAAGTGCTGATGTTTTTGTGGCAGTTGTCACTTGTTTCACAAACTGACAGCGCGAATGAAAAATGTGCATTATGATGCACCAAAAAAAAAAACTTGTATGACGTAAACTTATACTTGTATGTATAAAACTTGTATGACTTGTAAAAAATAAAACTTGTATGACTGAAACACACTAACCCTTAAAATTTCTGAATTGACTAATATATCCCTTGTGAATTTTTTCAAAATTTTCCTTCTTCGTTTCCAATAACATGCTTGAAATTTTGCAATTTTGCAATGATACAGTAAAAACTACAAAACATTCAAAAATCACTGGATGAAAACGAACTAACCCTCAAAAGTAGTGTTAACTAATATATCACTATATATCACTCATGAATTTTTTCAAAGTTTTCCTGCTTAATCTTCATTTCCTGCAAAAGCCTTCAATTTTGCAATTTTTACATTAAAATCTGTATATTACAGAGAAATATTTCAGTATGTTACTATTTTTCACAATAACACTGTAGATGTGTAGCTGTAGGACAGTAATGAATTAGGTAAAAATTTCCTATTTAAACTAAAAAATCTGTAAAATATTTCGGCAAGTGTTCAAAGAAATTACGATTCACTTATATTTTACCTTTCATACCATAAAATATATACAATTAAAATTTTATTACATGAATAACATATTAAATTACGCAGATAAATTAAAAAGCAAATTTAAAGCATGGTTGTAGAGCCTGATCTCTAATTTCCTATTGTGCAGAAAGTTGGCATCAGCCTCTGTCACACTGCCGAATAGCTCAGTTCACTGACTATCCTCCTGCTCAATGTCAGCATGCTGCATGTCAGTTGAATCGGAGAAATATGTCTTCAATAGACAAAGTGAAATGCCCTATTATTGGTAGTCCAAGATAGCTGTAATGTACTACCCGCATAAGAAGTTGTTTTACAGAGTTGCAAGTGGATTCAGCTGCACAAGGATAATTCTGGACAAAGAAAAAGTCATTGAAGTCAGTGGAAGCAAAGTCAGTGAAACAATTGCCTTGATAAAGAAAGCATGAGAAGAAGTACCTTTCAAAATGGTACCGATAAAGAACAGCCAAGTTTAAAGCTAAAGTTCGAGCTTTCAGAGCGGGAGCAAAAAAAAATTGTGTGGCATGGTTGTGCATAAATGCGCTGACAAGAGACTTGTAATTGTAAGAAAGCATAGATAGTTCCTGAGAGAGAGCAGTATTTTCTACCTGATAAGAAAAATGTTGGACAAACAGCCACTGGTTCCATTCATCTGCAAATTACAAAGCAACTAAACGAAAAAAAAATTGAAAGAAACAAAGTAAGCTTTGAAGAAAGCATGTACTGCCAAATTCCAAGAAAGCAATCAAGGTAGGTGCATTACACTTGAAGTCATAGAAGAGGATTTTGAAAATTGAATTTCTCATGCCAGATAAGAATCAAACGTCTTGGAGACTCCACCATCAGCTTCAGCTGCAGAGCAAACCAGAATCAAGCTTGCGATGCAACATATACGGCATTCATAACAGGCTATCACTATGTGTCAGCATATTATGTGAGTTACAAAGTAAAAGTACTGAGAAAGTAGCAGAAAGTAAAGAAATGAGTAGATTACTGAACATAGACAGATGTAAAGTTTGAAGGGAGTGAAGACAACTGCTCCAATATCTGCAGAACCAAGTAGCCAGAAAAGAAATAAAGCTTCAAGGTCTGAAGTTGAAGGGAGAAAGAACAAGGCACTGCATGAAAGAGATGAAAGCATCACAGATCTAAATTGAAAGAGCATGCATCGATGATTCTACAACCAGACAGTGTGTACCTTCGGAACATTTCTCCATTAACTCCTTCATCATTTAGTATAAAAAAACTATATTAACTCTAATGAGGGATTAAAAATATTGATGTATCAAATCTTACAGTATAAAGAATGTGATGAAATGACTACATGTTCTGACAGCAATATTACGTTTAATGTTAAGTGGAGTAGTATAAATGGCTGTCAAATCTCACATGGAAGCAAGTTCTCATAAGCAACAAGTATCTTTATTTGCTCATAGCTCTAATCTGAATGATTTTTTTTCCAACTGAAAAGTTAAAATTTTTATGCTCAGGTAACAGAACAGACACAAGCTTATCATGACGTAAAGTTACGTCACAGTTCTTTAACAACAGAATGTAGAAATAAAGTTAGCATGTCCGTATTTCCTTATTGGAAGACTCGGGAACACAAAAACTGAATCTCATGCAAAAAGTACAAGTTCCCTATAATATTGATCTTCTGTGAAGCTTTTATTATTCAATGTTGCTACAATTGTTGCATGCTTTAATAGATTAAACAAATATTGTGTGAAACTTCTGAATATTTTTTTTTATTTTATAAAATCAACAGTTAAAAATACATTATTACTGACTGAAAATATCACTTTGGAGCTGATACTGAAACAGTCAGTTTTGGATGCAAATCTTAGGTTTTTACAAAATTAAGAAAGTTACTAGTGATTTAATAGAAGCTAATTTTAATTGTCATATTCTCTATAATATTCCTAAATTCCTAAATAATCTCTATGCATTAAAAATAATGATATATGATGTGGAATATTTAACATTAAAAATCTTTTGCAAATTTTTATCAAGCACCTGCAACATCAGAGCACTACAAAATTGTTTAGATTTCATACATCAGTCATATTATGAAACACTGAAACATATTTCTAGATAGTTAACTTACTTAAAGCTATTGATAGGTTACTGAAAATTCGGCCTGCTATAAGCCTTTATTTTGTAAATCAAGAAGATGAGGAATGTAATTGCACCGTCTGGAAATTTCTGCAAGATCATGAATATAGTATTAATGATGGAAAATTCTTGCTAGAACTGATGCTATATTTCCTACATCCCTTCTGCATATTTTCCAAATATATGTATTAATTTTCCAAGGAGATAACATTGCCGTTTCCAAATTACATACAGTTTTTAAAAATCTCATAAGTAATATAGAACAAAGAAAAGAACAGTGTTTTTAGAGTTTTATAGTTAATCAAGCCCTTTTGCATTTTCAAGAAAATAATAAAAAAACAATTCAGACAAGTCGATAAGATGTACTGGCAAGCAATGAAATATTTAAATGATCTGTATGATTTTGACAATTAATGTTTTATTTCAGTTTAAAACTTTAAGATTTTTTTTTTTTTTTTTTACTTTAGTTCAAAACTTTATGAAATAATGTTCCAACTATACAAGACCACTTTGAAACTGATAAATATATTTAAAAAAAGTTGACTTCAAAGTAAAAGATAACATTATTTTTAATGAACTTTGCACAATAAAAAAGTAGTAGGGTATCCGAAAGACAAAAAGCAGGGGAAAAAATAATTCACAGTTATGGGCATTTATTTAATATAAAAGGGGAAATTTCCAAACAATTAGATGATAATTGAATTTACAGTTAGCATTCCAACTTCCTATGTGTATGCTGAATGATGTTTCTCTTCTATGAATAACTTAGGATGGGATAAAATACAAATTAAATACAGATTAACACACAAAAAATGTTAAAGGCCGAGCTACTGATTTGCAGTAGCATAAAAGAATTAATGTAAGTTTTGTTTCAAGCAACTAAAACTACACTTTTAAAGCAGCAAATTAAAATATAATGTAGTATTTACTTTAATGTAATTTTTCTCAATTACTTCCATATTGTTTATTACTATACACATATGTATGTATTACTCATATTATTTTTTTCAAATTTATAAATTTATATTATATAGTTTATAAATTATATCTTTGGTACTTTATAGGTATCTTTGGTACTTATACAACCTTCATACAATTAGTACTGATACTGGACTGTTAATTATTTTAAGGCATGTCACATATGAATATTGCATCACTCAATATACCATGTTACATGTTTACCTTCTAATAAAAAAAAATTTCTCCTCATTATAAATAAATTTTTTTAAAAAAAGTATGTTTTTTATTTTCCTAATTTTAAAATCCCATATTTCTAATTTTAAAATGTCCAGGTCCGTAGTTTTGGCAACACTGGTGAGGTCAGAAAAACTTATCTATTACAACTGACACATTAACAGCATCCCATAAAAAGTGCACTCTTTCGAAGAACTACATCGTTATTGTATAGATTGTTAAAAGGCAGATGGTGCAGACATTAACAAGTTGACAGTAACAAAGCAAGACAGAGAATGTGACGTATCCAAGGTAGAAGTTTGGTGCAGAAATTTTATTAGCTGAAGCATCATGCACATGATGCAAGGATAATATGACATGGATTAAGTTTGAAATGACACGGTTTAGAGAGGTTTATTATAAGAAATTACTATTTTTAAGATAGACAAGAAAACGGACAAATTAAGAAGAGTTAACTGCAATTAAAAAAGTTAATGGATTACTGCAATTATTTTGATTTACATACTTCTTATCTTATACATACACACAAAACCAATAAGAAAGGAAAACAATACGTGACTCTGTTAAATATAATAATTCCTTATTCAGTAAATCATTCACTTATGAATCTCTACTAAAATTATGAAATATACTTATGACTAAGAGTCTTACATAGTTTTGGGCCAAATCAGGATGGTTTCCTTGTATACCATCATCCAAAATACTAACAACCACTCCTTTTCCAGTGAAGCCTTCCTTCCAAGCAGGAATGACATTCATATCATAACCACCATAACCACCACCATGCTTTTGTAAAAAAAAAAAAAAAAGAGAGAGAGAGAGAGAAATTAATTCAAAACAACACTTACAAAAATAAAATTTTCAAAAAAAATCTCAGAGCAGTTTTCACCAAATCATACTTGTTATAAATTCAGCTGACAAACCTTCTCCAAACACAATTAGTAATTTTATTTTATTAGTAAATTTACATATTTTTTATGTATGTTATTATGCTGTCTTGTTCATGACTATTGGAAATTTAAAATCTTGCCATTGGAAATGTATTAAAAAAAGTTTATTTTATAGATAACAAATTATAGCCTGATCTGAAATAAGCAGCATATATATTATATACTTCCCTATTAACAGAACAAATCATGTTAAAATGTAAGTTATAATAATGAAAATTAGTTATAATTATGAAATTTTGAAATTTGCTGATTATTCAAAATTAGTAATGAATGTATAAAATTTTTATAACTGTGGTAATGTGCAAAAGTTTTGAAAAGCCTTCCCTGAAAAAAATGATTATTTGGACTGAAAATTCTCTCATAGGACTTTCAGATATTATCAAAGTTTATATTTTATAATTATTTAAACAACCATTTTGGACAAAATTTTATTATTTGCATTTTCCAAGGTACACTCCTCAAAAGTGAAATTGCAACAAAAAGAAAGAATGCGCGTAGCGTGAGAGTTGTGAGGTGGATATGCAAATGATAAATGTTGCATGCACATTGGATCACGTGGTACACATATGCGGGCTATGAAGGTTAGCCACTGTTAAGTATAGCATAAGTTCATATACATTCAACCAGTGTAATATTAATTTCCTTTTAGTTTTGCTTTGAGTGGCAACAGCGGTAAAATTTTAAGTTGGTAGAATAAACTTGTTTGGTTGCGTTTTAACTTTGAGAGATTATTTAGGTAGAAATAAGTTGATGAATGGATAGAATGGTATACATTTACTGTCGTATTTAATAGTCACTTTCCCTTCTCACAAACAGCACCTGAGGGTTTACAGAGCACTGGAGACATTAGAAGAAGTATAGAAAATGCATCTGAGACATCGGCGAGCTCAATCGGCTCAATACCATCATTTAACGACCAAGGAACGTGACCACTTATCGAAACATACTACAGAAAGGGAAAAAAATTCTATCATTGTTACTGTGGTATATTGGTGCTTAAAAATTCAATCCGAACATTCATAAATAAATGATTTCAAGCATCATGCCAGGTATTTTTCGTCAACATCAGTTTTAGAAATAGAGAGAGGTGTCATCAAATGGAATAAACTGTGCTTCTTTTCAATAATACACAATTAATAAAAGTACTACGAGTTTTCATCTTAGCCTGATGCCTTTGATTTAAATTAAAATAATTGTTGTTTAAAAATAAGTATGAATTGAAAAGATTTTCTTTTCTAAAATGATTTTGCAGTCATAAAATGGTGAGTACATTCAATAAATGTGCGAGTATATATAATGCTGTTACCTTATTGAGACAGTACATGCTAAACATGTTTCATATCTTGGAAGTAAATTTTCATTTAGTACAGCAGTTAAATATATTTTGTATTGTAACTAAATTGCAAATTGATAACTTTTACCATACCAAATTTAAAATATACAGTGTTATGACAAAATTGAAATTTTACACTGTTAGAAATATTAATTTAAATAACTACTTTTGAATTAAATAAATAATTTTAATATTTTTCCAGGAAAGGTTATTAAATTGTAATGTGATTAATCATTACGTTTTTGAATTACATTAAAAATGTTTGAATTATTGTTAAGAATTTTATAATTATTCTGAGAACGAAGGAAATATAAAATGCAAATTAAATAGTTTTAAACAGCAGCATACAAAATGATAATGAAATAGAGAAAATATACAAAGTGTAACTTTTAACATTATTGTAATGAATATTTAAAAACATTAATAATTTAAAAACTAAATGATTGTAATGAATTGAGTATGTGTAATGCAATTATAATGTGAAATGCATAAGGAAAAAAAGTAATTTCAAGTTATGGGGGATGAATGTCATTATTATGTAATGAATAATTGAATGTAAAGTATAGAGTATGTTGAGAGAGAACTGTTTCAGAAAGAGAAGTCTATTATTACCTTTGGTATAACTGCTCCTTTTGCCCTTTGCATACAATGTAAACTTTGAAGGGCCTTACAATTTTTTCATATATAATTATTATTTTTATTTGTTTTTATGAAGTGTAGTTTTAATTTCTCTATGAATAATGGAATATATTAGTGTAGTTCATAAAGATAAGGTAACTGGCTCTGGTCCAAGGAAGCCCTAACCACTGATGAATTAATATATTAGACAGTTTAAGTGGATTTGCCTACCAGCAGGATATGTTTGCATTTAGAGCAAGCTGTGTGGTCTTCCTGTTTGTAAAATAAGACCATTAGAAACGTAAAGGTAACCATAAAAATCATGTTAAAATGTAAGTTATAATAATGAAAATTAGTTATACTACAAAATTTTGAAATTTACTACAATTATTCAAAATTAGTAATAAATGTATAAAAATTTTATAATTGTGTTACTGTGCAAAACTTTTGAAAAGCCTTCCCTGAAAATATATGATTATGTGGACTCAACATACAAAAACTTCTGGACGAAAAATTTTCTCTGAAATGTCAAAGTTTATATTTTACAATTATTATAAACAACTATTTTGGACAAAATTTTATTATTTGCATGTTTAAAATTATCTTCTTCATTTGCTAATGCTTTAGCATTCTCTATTCTCCCAAAAGGCTTCTCTATAACTAAGCCCTTTTTCTCTTTTGTTTTCGGGGGGGATGTAAGATAAAAAAATATGCAAATCAAAGCAATACCCCTTAATTCCCCCCCCTCTATTACAAAAATAGCAATGGCTTTTTCTGCACTCATAATTTCTAGATCAATCCATATCATATGACTTTCAAAATTCTGATGATGTAGCAAATTCGAAGCTTAAACCAAAACTTTCTCTTAATATGCTGCCATATTGGATAACTGTGCACTTTAGCTTCTAGCTCTCTTGTCATTAAGACGCTGGCATCCTACCTTTCTATCACAATAATATCAAAAATGTAAATGTTCTTGAATAGGTACGATCAGAGTACCAAGTGAATTATGGCCCAAATGTTAATTGAAATAAATATGAATATTTAATCTTACTCGGCTGCCAAGTTAGCTTTTCAATGTGAATCAACATTCCATGCCAGCAATATTGCTAAGTCTTTTTCATTAAATACATTTTAACTCTCTCTTGATTTCAATTTACTCATAAAAACTGCATGATTTTGTTAGCAGCTAAACCTTTAAAATCAGATGACTGTTAACATAGATGTGACAGCTTATTTAAATACAGCAAAGCACATGAGTGTTGCCAGTGTACAACAGTCAAAAATCAGAACTTTCTCAATGATAAACAGATTTTTTTAATGATAAGATTTTTTTTAATTCTGTACTAAAGAATATACAGTACTATTCGGTTTTAAGGGCCGTAAAAAATCGCTAAACTATTGTTGATACCAGTGCTGCCAAAAATAATTGTGGCAACCCTAACGCAAGAAGGAAAGTATAATAGTAAATAACTACCTAAGATGAACGATTTAATTTAGATGAAAATTAATTTCATATAATACTTTTTTTTTATTTTATAAAAAAAAGGCTAAACATGAGAATGGAAGCATAGGAGTATATAACTATTTCAGATCATTATTTTATAATTTATATAAAATTGCTAAAATAACTGAATGGATGCCTGCATCGCTATTCGCTACCCCGTTATCGCTAAGGAATAATTTCATCTCGTTGATGTTCAAACATTTTCTATAAAGAATGATGCCATTTCTTTGAAAAATTCTCGGTAAGTGGCAGATTGCTCACTTATTGTTTGCCGCTTTTTACAAGGATAAAAAATAATTGGATTTTTGTCAATTTTCTTTACTTTTAAGGTAAAATAGGTCGATGTGTACATAGATAAAGTCAAGGGGTGCGCAGTGCCATTTTGTGCAATTCTGGATTTTTTTTTACTGAAATAGGTTGAGTGTAATGGATACTGAGTATGTGCAATTAAAAGTGCGTCAACAGTGAGTGGATTCTCACTTTACCAAAATCTATGCAGACTCTCATCATGGAAATTCCCAAATTGTTAAATCCATAGGATATCAAAAAAAGGATTTAAAATCAAAAAAGGATTTAAAAATAAAACTAGTATTTTATTGGAGTCTAAGAAACAGAACTATATATAGTCTGAAATCAGCGCGTACGCTAGATTTGGCGTGCTGTTAAATGGGCACATTTGCTAGATTTGGCACTTTTGTGCATACATTTTCACTGCAATTTTTTTTACGGTCCTCAAAACGGAATAGTACCGAATATACTTTTAATAATGAATTAACTTTAAATACTAAGAAATTAATACTGGAAATTTCAGTTATTATTTTTTAAAAGCAAATCTTACAAAAAATACTTACATTTATAAAAACATTCTTATTTATACCTTTAATAGAAAAACAATACTTCAATCAGTTTTCGTACAAATGGTAAGAAGAGTGGAAGATTTTGCTTTCATTATGAAAAACACTTCATAATTTTGTTCACAGCAATTGCCACGTAGGCCTGCTTTTCCTAATAAAAATTTTCTTAATGTGTCATTACTAATATTGGTAAATTTTATTCTTAACAACTGCAACTTTGCATGTAAAATCACATCATCACAGACTGGAAATTTACATAATAGATAATGATACACTTAGTGTAATCAACAACTTAATTTATTTTTCATACCTATATCTTTAACAATTGCAGTCACTTTTGTACTTGCACTTGAGTATATCTCAGCAATTTCGCTACTAGGAAACATTTTTCTCAATAAAGCTGCAGCATGATTTGATGAATCCAATGGCAAGTTGTGCTCCAGCAAAAATGACAGAGAACTGGCATTCTGCATTATAACATTTTTGTCCTTTGTTTCCACACAAAATCTTAATTTTTCTTCTCC